CTTGCATCTTATCACAGAGAGAGGCAACAAATTGTAGTATTAGGTGGAAATAGATCAACAGAAAACATTTTAAATACTGGTGTCCCTCAAGGATCAATCTTGGGACCTATTCTCTTTATAATTTTTATCAATGATATGGTGTACTCATGTCCCGATGCTGGAAAAATTGTCATGTATGCTGATGACACTAATATTCTCATATCAGATAATGAATTAAAAAATGCTGTAACCAGAGCAAGCATTTGTGGCAATGATTTTCATAAATGGTGCTCGTTGAATGGACTACTAATTAACCTACAAAAAAAAAACATTCCTTATGGTATTCACAACAAAAAATATAAATCGTGATATGAATTTTTTAATTCAAGTGAATCATAAATCAATAGAACAGGTAAATTTCACTAAATTTCTGGGTATCAAAGTAGACCAAAATATGACATGGGAACCTCATATTAATGATATAACAAATAAATTGAGTACAATTTGCTTTATTATCAGACAACTCAAGGGCACAATATCATTAGACCTACTTAAATTAGCGTACTATGGACTTGTGCAATCTGCATTGAGCTACGGATTGATCTTCTGGAAAAATTTAGTATATATGAATAAAGTCTTCATCATCCAAAAGAAAATAATTGGATGCACGGCTGGTGTAGCTCGTGGAACCTCTTGTAGAAACATATTCAAACAACTCTCAATTTTAACAGTCCCTTCACTTTACATTCTTCTGATTATCATCAATGGCGAAAAAGAAGAAAATAACCTGAATAGAAGATGTGATCTACACAAATACAATACGAGAAATAGTGATAGCATCCACCAGCTATACTCAAGATTGAACATTGGTCAGGATTCTCACATATACCCAGGAATCAGGTGCCATAACCGACTTATGAACATATTCCCGCACTCAAACTCAGCGAGTGTAAATGTGTTGAAGGATAGTCTGACTCGTTATCTAATAAATCAATCATTTTACTCCATTGAAGGGTTTTTAGACGCTACATTGTAGAGAATTTCAATCCAATCGTATGTGTATTTCTCATACATTGAAGAGCTTTCAGATGCTACATTGTAGAGAAATTTACTCTAATGTATATTTTTTTATATTTCAAATTGTATATTTCTGAATTTTCTTTATTGCCTTGTGACTAGTCCGATAATTTTTTTGCATGTATATATGTATTCTCTTGTATGTATATGTAAATTCTTCAGTAATGAATAAATAAATTCTAATCCTAATGGTATATTTTTTGAACTTCATTTGACTGTTGGAATACATATTTCAGAAACATACTTGTTGGAGATATGTGGTATCGAAATTTGTATTCAATCAAGATAATTTTTATGAAGTAGTTTTTTTATTTCTAATCAAACACTTCATCTGTACGTTATATTTGCTAGAGATAAAAATGAGTGATGGTTTTTTTGTGAAAAATAATTTTCAGTTCTTCAAAATGGAGTACTTTATTTACCAATATTAATTGATAACCCACATCTAGATAATGAATTTCAAAATTTCATGATATCTAAATTTCCGAATTATTTTTTCCAAATACAATGTCAACGCTAGTATACATTCTCGAGTAGAGAGGACTGGATCCTCCAGGAGAAGGAAATATTGAGAGCAGGTAGTTATTGGTTCACAGATGGATCAAAATCTCCTTCCGGTTCAGGTGAAAGTGTTTTCAGTCGCAGACCCAGGACAGAGATATCAACCAGCCTAGGAACCTATGCGACTGTATTTCAAGCGGAAATTCACGCTATTAAATTGTGTGCAGAGATATTGGAAGAATTCAACCTCATACACAAGTCAGTAAAAATATTCTCGGACAGTCAAGCGGCGTTGGAAGCTCTTGGCTCCTACCGAGCTACGTCTAAATTGGTAGGAAATTGCCAAAAACTACTCTCCTCAATAGGAAGACTTAATAGATTGTCTCTAGTCTGGATTCCTGGCCACACAGGCCTGGAGGGCAATAAAACTGCTGACTCCCTTGCAAAGGAGGGTGCTGCAAACAGCTTCATCGAACCAGAACCAATCATCGCTTTAGGCTTTATCAAACAAAGACTGAACACCTGGATGGCAAGAAGATTCATGAAATTCTGGCAAAATCTTCCAGGATTGGCTCACTTCTATTATTCTAGAGACCGATAAGCTCACAGTTCTGAAACATTATTCAAAAAATATGTCACGATAACTCACAAGATATATCAAAGCTCTCGCCAAATTTTGATGTTTTATGGAGGAAGGCATTTGAGAAATGATGTGTAACAAAGAAAGCAAATTCTCTGGACATGAGGCAGAAAGGACGCTCAATGCAATATTTTCTGATATCTCAGGGAATTAGTTGAAAATTTTAAACAACTGAAAGTCTACCTAGAGCTGAGAGAGCTGGAATAAAATCTATCTCGGACAAAAAACAGACTGTAGCGTCTGCAGGGAAAAATCCCCTGCAGACTACGATAACACTTCGTGAGAATAATATGTCAACAACTACCACTAAGAAATACCTCAGAAAACATGAGTTTCACCCCTATAAACTGAAGATATTACATGAATTAAATGAAGATGACCCAGAGAGCTGATTTAGTGAAGAATGCACATCTACACTTATATTTTTCAAGATCTTACTCCTGAGAGAACAAACGCCTGGGAAGATATATTGACAAATCATAATTTTGGTCCCTTATATCCGCAGGAACATCTGACTGGTTATTTATGTTTAGAAATTCTTCAAAACTTCATTCACCCAGGGATTCAAGGAATTGTGGCCAACAATCAAGATTAATTCGAAAATTCAGACGTTTTCCAACGGAATGATGCACCTCCACATGGTTGGAATCACACATACCTACGCGACATAGGTGCGATCTGTTGGAATGGCCTGCTCGTTCACCGGCTTTGAGTTCTTTTAATTTTTCCCTCTGATGTTAAATCGAGTCTCAGTAGTGCCATCAGTACCACCTCGTCAGCGGCCATGGAGATCCTTCTTAGAGTGAGAGGCTAGATGGACTGCATATAGACTTGTGCACATTGTCAATTGCACAAATCAATTTAATGCAAAGTGCAACAGACTGTTGATTGACACTGAAAGTCACAGCATTCTGGAAATGACCTCTGACAACTGTCAACTACGAACTGCCTCATAAAGTACTGTTCCCGAGTGGAGTGTGAGCAACAATAAACCCTTGCGGGTTGCGGTGGATGGTCGAGTGGACCCACTCACTTTGGACCTAACCTAACCTAATATAATTTTTTAAAACATCTCAATTGATATTGGATGAAAATTATCACTGCTCTAACTCTAGTTGGTTATAAATTAGTCTTCAGTTCGAAAAAATAATTTTCAAAAGTGGCAGTGGTTCTTGAAAATTCGCAGGCAAATAAAAAAAAAATCATAAAATTTGATTTTATCATCATAGTTAGCATCATACAGTTTTTCAACAACATTTTTATAGTACGATTTGTTATTAGCCTCAAAATATATCTCAGTTTTGAGAGTACCTCTTTATCGACGCGAATTTTTTTTCAGCGAGCATTCTCTTGAGGTCTGAGAACAGGAAAAAGTCACTGCTGCCAGATCTGGAGAATACGGTGGATGCGGAAGCAGTCGAAGCAAAATGTATGCAATTTTGCCATCGTTTTCATTGATTTGTGGGACGGTACATTGTCTTGTTGAAAGAGCACTTTCTTCTTCTTCAAATGGAACCGTTACCTAGCGGTTTAGTTCTTCAAACGCTCCAATGAGGGTATGTAATAGTCGCTGTTGATGGTGTCTTCAGGATAGTCGATGAATATTATACTATTCGAATCTCAAAATACTGATCATAACCTTGACACCTCAGCTAATACCAAACCACTTCTGAACAGTGAAGCGTTCATTTGAATGGCATCTAAATCAATTCCATAACTTACGAGTATGAATAGGAAAAAGCGATTTTCCTGTAATTGGATGTTCACGTGAAAGTAGTTGTTTCGGGAGGGCTCCATCGGCCAGTTTTTGTCTGAAAGTTACTTCTTTGCATGATCTACACATCTTTGTGGAGACTTTATTTTCAAATTGATTAGTTTCCTTTTCTCATTGGAAGATCACCACATTTTTTGAATAAAGATGGGGACATAGAAAGCCAAAAAATGTCTTTCTCATAAAGCATTAACCTCTACTTACTATAGACAATAATTCAATCGTATTTTCTCAGAAGTAAGTATGTACGTGTATATAAGTAATGAAATGAGATTCATTTTGTCTGGAAAAAAAGGAAATTCTACAAGATGAAATCTTACATAAAGTTGCCCTTTCATGGATTTATATATGCAAGAATAATAGAACTTTTCTTCGCTTCTTTCGGATGGCCGTATCTTTGAAAGTAGAGCAACCGACAAATATGAACTTCAGAGTGCCTGTAGAAATTGTCAATTAACAATTGAAATAAATGGATTTTGGAATGTTTTCTACTTGGCAACACTGCATGGCAATATCTAGGTGGAGCGATAAACCATTCCGGTTGAGGTTTTCAGTATTCAGTGGTTTACGTTTCCTACTTTTATCGAGATGGTTGTATAATCTCCATATTTTCTCCCTGTAAGGGTTTTTGACAAAACGGTTTAGGCTTTCGCGGCCAAGGTTTTCAGTGTAACTATTTTCCGCTTTTGAAGGCCGTGGGTTTTTGGAATTCCTTCCTGACGAGAGAGGTTTAATCGGATCGGATTGATATCCGATGAGTGATCGGATATTAATCCAGGTGACACTATTGCAGATCATTATTTCAAATCTATTTTCAGGGGTTTTTTCCAGCTGTGCCTGGCGTTTCGTCTACTACTGCGGTAGACATTATAAAAGGCGATGAGGTAATGGCCGAAGTGTTTGAGTTGTTCTCAACGCATAAACAGCAACGCATTTTCCAACTGATTTTGTGAAAAAATCTCACGTTAATTATTTTCCATTAAATCACTCTTTATATTCCGATCGATTATTATCACCATCAACAGCTATATAAAGTTCCTCGGATTCATTAAGTACATAGTCGATTAGCGCACACGACCATGGCAAGGACAAGTTTATTGGTGTTTTGTATTTGTTTCATTAATGGAATGTGAGTATATGAGTGATTTCTAATCTGAACTCGTTGAAAATTGAAATTATCGGGTTGCTTTCACAGTCATTGGAATTTTTAATCTTTTATTGGTAACAGATGAACTTGACACTTCACCTTTAAAATCAAATAATCAGCGAGTATAAATTTATAAAAAAATTTGAACGAATTTTGATACCTCAGTCTTACACCCAAAATTTTCAACTGATTCTCATTAGGTAAGAATTAAATTGTTGAACAATATTAAAAATGAAGCTCTATGATAGATCTAAAATTCTGTTTCATTCGTTGTGACTTTTCCTATGCTCAATAAAAGTTTAATTTGTCTAGCAGTTTTTCCTGAAATATATATGCACATGTTCATTGAAGTGAGCATACCCCTAAATATTCAAATTTCGAAACAATTTCAATACTTTCATATTAATGGGGAGAGATTGAAATTTTGTATTTGCCGGTGTGAAAAAAAACATGAATTTTGATTGACTTGAATTCAGTTTCGACTGACTGAAATTTCCCATGAATCTGATATACCTTTGTAGATAATCGACAATTTTATATACTGGATTTCCTGTTACATGAATCAATGTGTCATCTGCAAATACCTAGTTGTATTTTACAATTTTTTATGATTTCACACATACCATTTATCTTTTAAGGAACGAGATACTGAATCACATAACTTTGAGGGCACTATTCTCATACTTACATTATGAAATGAAATTATCTGAAAACTGAAGAGAGGATGTATTACTTTCCATTTGAAAACTATGAATATAGCAAACAAAGCAAATATGAAAACAATCACTCTTTTGATCATTCAACATTTTTTGACTGGGTGTAATCTAGGTACTGGTGGAAAAAACTACACATAGTAGTCATGCAAAGATCATTAAATTATTTCCAAGAACAATTCGAAGGTTGATTTCATCAAATCAACATGGAAATAGAATTTACGTACTATAACACCTGGGATGAAAACTCTCGGGCCTAAGAAAGGAAAACCCGTTTATTTTTTGTGGAAATTGGGTGTATTCATCAACGTAATCTCCATTACAAGCCACACCAATCTTTCCAGAGCCGCTCTAATACCACTTTTGTAGAACGATGTGCTTTCGGGCTCTTTGGACGAGGTTCACCAATTGCTCTCCACTCAGATGATGATCGTTTTGATTCCAGAATAAAGTGATGAATCCATGTTTCATCCGTTGTCACATATCGTAGGAAAAACCTCGGTTTGTTATGTTATCATGGTCAAACACTGCTCAGAATCGACAAAATGGTTTAGACTTTCACTGCTGAGGTTTTTAGTGTCATTGCTTTTCGAGTTTGAAATACGTGGATTTTTGGAATTTCTTCCTAACGTTTCACTGGCGCGAGTGGCTAGCTTCTTCAGAGGTTTAACCATCATGACTTGCTGTCCGATGACTACCTTTTAGGCTTCGTAAAGCGTATTTATGCCTTGTCAGGTAATCCGTTGTATCTGTACCTGTATTTGTACCTGTACTCGTACCTGCTCCTGTACCTGTAGTCGTACTTGCACTTGAACCTGAGATTAACAATCTCGCTGCCTGTTGTCCTGTTCGTTATTCTTGAATTCCTTATTCCATATTCGATTGAGGTTCACCGCTTCTTCTTTTCTGTTGAAATTCTCATTTGAATTGAAGCTGACCTTGTGGCTACGTTACGTGGATGACACCTACGTCATCTGGAAACATGGAAGAGACGCCCTTAACCGTTTCCTCAACCACTTGAACGCCTAACACCCGAGCATAGAATTCACCATGGAGATTGAGCAGGACCAACGGATAGCTTTCCTAGATGTACTAGTAGAACGATGTGGTACTAGATTAACCCAAAAAGTGTATCGAAAACCCACACACAGATAGATACTTGCACGCACTATCGAACCACCATCCTAGCCAAAAGAGAGGAATCATCTCCACTCTAACGGAACGGGCTCGGAGAATATGTGAACCAGATCATCTAGAGCAAGAACTAGAACATCTGGAGAGGGAACTGAAATACCTTGAAGGGATCTGGAGATCGAATGGATACAGTACCTCCGAGACCAGAGCCATGAAACCGAAGGGCACCACGGTTCAGAAAACGAAAAAGGATCAGATGGTTGCACGCGCATATCTACCGTTTATCCCTAGGGTCACGGACAGAATTGGAAAACTATTGGGCAAACACGACATCGAAACAGTCTTCAAACCCACGAGGAAGATACAACAAAGCCTCAGGTCGGCTAAAGACAAAAGAGACCCATTATCAGCAGCAGGGGTTTATCGCATACCGTGCAAGTGTGGAAAGGTATATATCGGAACCACCAAACGATACATGGGAACAAGACTCAAAAAGCATAAAAGGAACTGCAGACTAGGCCGAACGGACAAGTCAGCTGTGGCAGAACACACACTTAGTGAAGGAGACCACAGAATTTTGTTTGGAAACCCAGAACTAATTGCTCCCAACCAGAGATACCAAAGCCGACTGGTACAGGAGGCAATAGAGATCCACAAATACACGGACAGCAAGCCATGATGGTTAAACCTCTGAAGAAGCTAGCTACTCGCGCCAGCGAAACGTCAGGAAAAAATTAAAAAAATCCACGACTTTCAAACTCGAAAAGCAATGACACTGACTGCTCAGAATCATCAAGACGTTCGCGCGACACCCATTTTGAATAGAGCTTTGTCATAGTCAAATGCTCATGCAATATAAAGCCAACACGTCCTTTTGATATATTTACATAACTTCACTTTTCGATAATTAGAAAAGATTTGTGAGGCAAATGAGGCAGTAACACCAGTAGTTACTGCCTCATTTGCAAACCAACGTTTATTTGTTGTTCCTGATGAAGCGGAGTCTATTTAATACTTTTCTAGCCATTGCCTTGAACGGAAATTTTCCCATCAAGAAGCAATGTAAAATTGAGACACGAATTTGTTTTTGATCCAGTGTTTAGTTAGAAAATAACAAAAATAGAGTTACTCTCAGCACAATAACTCACAAATTTATGAGTAGAACATCATGAGATTTCAACAGCTTTCTTTTGAAGGTTATTACTATTTGAAGAAGCGATGAATGCAATAAGACTAGCGCCATCTATGTGTGAGGCCCGAGATTTTTTATTTCATGTAGTATAAATAACCAACAACTTAATGAATATCAGGCATTGAAAATATGACCACTGTTGCCTGAGGAAGATATTGTACAGCAAAACACTGTCGCGATTTTTGTAAAACCTATTGTAGGTGAACATCACCCAGAGAACTGTATAAGTGAGTTTTCATTAATAATACACTGTATGAAGAATCTGTTATTGAGCATTCTCTTAATACTGAACAATGAGTGAAGAGTATTTAAGACTTTTAACACTGTTTGAAACAACTCTCAATTCAAAAACGTCATAGTTTCGTGAAAATGAACTTCATGAATATGATGATGAAATAATTGAAACTATAGTGAAAAAGTTTTTGTTATAACTCAATTATTTAAAGCGCTAAGTTCATGAAGCTCTACAATTATGCTTTATATAATGTAAACCGACCGTTGAATTAATCATACATGTTGATATATTTATTATAAACGACGAATTGGCCAGTGCAATGTAATAATTGTTAAACAAAACCACCTCATCACAGGCCTGAATGGATTTTAACGTGTCGGTTTTAATAATAATAGAGCTATATGATTAATATTTATTATAAATAGTTGGACTGGAATTTCATGAACAGAAGTTCATTAAATTGTTTTTGTTGCAGATTGAGCTATGACCTCAATGATAACAAATTTCCAGATGATTTTTTGTTTGGAGTAGCTACAGCTGCATATCAAATAGAAGGTAATAAATTACTAACGCTGATGTTCAAACTAGGTGAAACACATACAACGAAACTTGTACGGTATCACATGGTATTCCAAAATATTTTTATAATGAAAAGAATTAATTTGCAGATACATTTTTTGTTCAACATGAACATAATGATTCGTTTCCAGTTCTAAAATCAGACCCAACGCGATGTGATTTCATAATGTGTCCAGAAAAGGAAAATAAATGGTGTTGTTGCGAAAAGAACATCACAAAAAGTATATTCTGTTTTTCCGTTAACCAGTTAGTCAAAACTTGTGCGAGTTAAGGATAAACGAAGTTCCTAATCCTAATATCGACGGCAACTTCTGGAAGCCACAGGTATAAGATATTCGTTGAAAATATAAGAGAGAGCTTCGCTTGAAATATAAGAGAGAAATTTCGTGCCCAAGGTTTATGTGGCAGTAGACACGACTTCCGAATTTCTCAAGATTGAATGAAATTAACCGCTTCATCTAATGTCAGCAACACCAAAACTGGACAGTTAAAAACTGGATTCACATCAGATCACTATTGCATTCTGTTTCTAAGAGTTTCTAGAAGACAAACCAAATTTCAGGATCCAAGATGGCTTCCAAAATACAGATGAGATAAGATATTACTCTAGGGAAGCAATCTGCTGCATTACTGGTGGAAAGAGTGTACATAACTCTCTACTCAAAGCTAGACCCTTAGTAAGGCTGTGGATGGGTTCTGGTGGAGAGGTACATTTAAAAAGGGTAGACGGTAACACTCCTCTTCTTGCAAACAAGCTTGCCTAGGAATGATGAAGTGGTTAAGAAATCTGGACCTCATTGGAATTTATAAAATGACCTCAAGAAAACATTGATATTTTTATCAGAAACATACTGTCACGAATTTATGCTGACATTTATTGGTGATGTGAAGCGAATGGTTATTGAACTGATGGATGTAGCCGTTACTACGTAGTAGGAGATCATCATGCAAAATGAGAAATAGAACTTCCTATGTTTTTTCTCCACATGTATTTGTAACTAAAGTTACTGCAGTTTCTTTCTATCAGGACATTTTCAAACGAATACAATAAACTGAAATAATCAACAATGTTTACCCTATATATCTATACACTACTGTAGGTAATAACAGACGGTCCTTAATAACTTTATTACCTGAATTTTTTTTACCTGTGACCTACGCTATTCGAAAACCGGTGAATGGACTAGGTCATTCAGCAGATTACATTCGCATTGTTTATGCTTATGAATTTACAAGGTTTCCAAATGATTGAGTTTCCAATCCTTTCCTGGATAGTGCAAAATTTTTGTAACGTTTGGACTCGAAAACTTGCGATTGCGTTCCAAGGAACGGTTTGAAAACGTCGAATCATTTTTTCCTAGTCTGGAGGACCTTTCATGTTCAGCATACCGTTTTGAGGAATTCCAGCCACATTGTCCAACATAAACACTATTACCCTCCGGACACTTACGTTTATAAACTCCTGATTTTGCCATCTTATCCACTTTGTCTTTGAAGTAAAAAAAAATTGATATCCTGGAATGTGATATGGGGTATATTAATTCTGTACATACAAACAACAAGAAATCGAGAAATTTGTAACTCCAACACATTTTGCTAAAAAAAACAGATACAATTGCGGGATTTTTCAGAAAAAACACTGAGGAAATGGCATTCAGGCCACATGTCAGGTTATCTACTTTTCTTTTTAATGCCAAAGATAAAGTGGACAAGATGGAGAATTCTGAAAATCTTTATGCGGGACAATGTGGCAAAGCAAGGGTTGAGAACTCAATCATCTGGAATCCTTGGAAATCCATAAGCATAAGCATTGTGGATGTCACCTACTAAATGACCAAATCAATCTTATATGCTCGCCGGTTTTCAGATTAGCGTACCCAGATTGTCACAGGTAACCTAACCTAATGTAACCTGACCTAACCTAACCTATCATATCGTAACCCAACCTACTAAATGACCAAATTGACCTGGTCTACTCGCCGGTTTCCAGCATACACACATTGTCACAGGTAAAGAAAATTCAGGTAAAAAAGTTATTGAGGACCGTATTTTCATTTTTTCTCTCAATATATTTCAGAATAATTCATAAAATTAATAAAAGCGTTGTTGGAAATTCCATATAAGTTTCGTTATATGTGTCAGTATCAAACGTTCAAATCGATTCGGAAACAATGTTAGACTATTATAATTTTTGTAAAATGAACCTACTTCCAGGAGCATGGAATGAAGGAGGTAAAGGGGAAAATATCTGGGATAATGTTTGCCACAGAGTGCCATCACCAGTTGTGAATAATGACACTGGCGATATCGCATGTGATTCTTACCACAAATACAAAGAAGATGTCGCACTTTTGAAAGATTTGGGTGTGGACGTTTATAGATTCTCCCTGTCTTGGTCGAGAATACTTCCTAACGGTAAGTAAGAGATAAATTGAATAATCATTACATTCCCAAGATAACTTTATTCAACCCAAGTATATTTTTAGAAGTATAATTTCAGGACAGATCAGTTTTTCGAAAATACCCTTTGGCTTTTACTTCTCCACCTTCATACAACAAATTATCGAAAACTTCAGAAGGAAGGAAGATAGCAATTATGGTCAAAATGAAATATTTAAAAAAATGTGTAGATAATGCATTAAGTTATTTTTTATACAAATTGGGAGAAGCTGTTCCAAAGCAACTACTTTCACTTTCATACAACATTGAATTACACGAAAATGGATACCCTAATTATTCAGCTCAACATTAACGGATTCTACACAATTACATATGCAGATGACATAGTTGTCATGCACACAGGCAAATTTGTAAAACACACTGTGCGATAGAGCGTAGGATGGGCTCAAATTAATAGAAACATGGTGTAAGGAAAACTCACTGTTGATCAATCCCAAGAAGACTGAGATGGTCCTTTTCACCAGGAAAAGAAGTTCATCGAGCTCGAAATCTTTAAAAGCAAACTAAACTTCTCTGAAGAGGTGAAATACCTTGGTACTATCCTCGACAGGAAGCTAACATGGAACTCTCACCTACAGAGTGGAGCAAAAAGAGCATATGTGGCTTATGAGCAATGTCGAAGGACAGTGGGACGCGCATGGGCGCATGTGTAGTCACCTGGATCTACACTTCAATAATAAGACCTATGTTAACGTACGGATCCATTGCATGGGAACCGAAAGTTCTACAAGAAACGGCCATTCAAAACTTATATAAAATTCAGCGATTGGCTTGTTTCAACATAACAGGCGTTATGAAAACAACACCAACTGCGGCAATGGAATTAATTTATGGTCTAACCCCTCTGGACCTGTACGTTAAGGAGATTACGTTAATGGCCACGTTACGATTGCGCACGGTTGGTGTAAACCTAGAAGTACAAATGGGTCAATTGAGGCTGAGCCTATGGGAAGAAGCGCTTATTGCACAACCTCGTCTACAGGCAACCAAGGATGCAATTGAACAGAGTTTTGTGTTCAATAAACCCTACAAAATACAAATAAAACAGAACACAGACTCAGATGCTATACGCAAATCGCAATACGGCTCAAAAACAAAAAAAGGCTCAGGTCACTAAGCCTGTGGATTAAGTGGGGAACGGGAAAAAATACCAGTGTTGTTCAAACGGAACTGGCTGGTATATCAATCGCCACAAAAGAAATAACCAGGATAGGAATTTTTGGCAAAAACATGACAATCTGTACTGATAGCAGACAAGCCCTATTAGCCTTGAACAGACAACGTGTTACCTCAGGGCTAGTACTAGAGTGCCACTAAGATTCAGCCAAAGCCTCGGCAGATGATAACATTATCCTGAGGTGCATTAAAAGGCACGACAGGAGTAAAGGTAATCGCATTGCCGACTCTTCAGCCAAGGAAGCGGCTGGACTAAGAATTTTAGGACCCAGTGGCACCTATGGCCTGATGACTTCGACAATTGCGGAACTAGCCAAACTCACACCCATGCTCAATCCCTAAAAAAATGGGATGAAATCATGGGATGAAATCAAAAGATGCAATCTTGCCTGGATCACATTTGGCGACCCTGGAAAGCTGGCGCAGAAGAAATATCTGGCGATAACCAGGGAAATTTTACGCCTAACAGTAGGATTTCTGACTTGCCACTGTCAACTTAGGAAACACTTCCACAATATGATGCTAGTGGATACACCTCTATGCAGGATGTGTGAACAGACATGTCCTATGCAAATGTCGGAGTTATCGTTAATGAGAGAGTGTGTGTTCGGCGAGTCTTGGCCTACACCTGCCGATATAAAGGAGATGTCTCCCAGAGACCTGTCCACCTTCCTGGAAAAGACAGGATGGACGATGACCTAGGAGGACAACTCCTTGGGAGGATGTACAATAGGTCACATGTGGCCTAAGTGCTGTGGGCCTACACTCACCCCCCCTACTCTACAGATACACGAAAGAAAACAGACTATCTAAACAACTACCTCACTATGAACAGCGAATTATACGAGAATCACTAATTTGAAAGCTAATTGCAAAAATCTCTTTACCTGTTGAACAAACTGTTGTTACTGAAAAATAGTAATTCAAGGAATTGATATTCTTAAACAAGAGTTTACAATCATGTCTAAATTTGAGTTGTGAACTCATTCCTCACTACCTTTCATTGAATTCTGATCAAGCGTTTTTGCAAGATATGAAAATTTTAAAAGCAGTATAATATTTTTTTTACAGGGTTTGACAATAAGATCAACGTGGAAGGCATCAACTACTACAAAAACTTAATCAGAGAATTATTGGATAATAACATAAAACCTCTGGTAACGATATATCACTGGGACCTTCCTCAGGTTCTGCAGGATGCGGGCGGTTGGGAGAGCGAATTCATAATAGATGCTTACCTGGATTACGCAAGAGTTTGTTTCCGAGAATTCGGAGACGATGTCAAGTATTGGTTGACTTTTAACGAACCAAAACAGACGTGCCATGCAGGTTACGCTAGCGGAGATAAAGCACCATTGATAATTTCGCCCGGTGTAGGAGAATATTTGTGTTCACGTAATTTGTTACTGGCTCATTCGAAAGCATGGCATTTGTATAATAATGAATTCCGGAGCAAACAGCAAGGTACGTATTTGAATCAATTCCTTATGTTTTTGATAAAATGTCAAACTAAATATCTTTCGGATGTTACGTATTATGAAAGATAGTCAAAAGTCATAAATACTGCCACCAAATGATGAATGACTTGTTCGGGCGTATATAAAATATCAAACTCAATCAAATTAAAAATCATTCGGATGTTAATTCATAACGAAAGATAGTCAAAAATCATTAATACTGTCACCAATTGATGAATGACTTGTTCGGGCGTATATTGTTCTTTTGTGAATGACCAGTAAATTATATCGAAAGTCTTCTGTTCTTGATAAAATGTTAAACTCAATCAAACTAAATATCTTTCGGATGTTACTTATAAAGAAAGACATTCAAAAGTCATAATTTCTGCCACCAAATGATGAATGACCTGTTCGTACGTACGTTGTTTTTTTGTGAATGACCAGAAAATGATAATAAAATACTTTTGTTCTGGATAAAATATCAAAATCAATAAAAATAAATATCTTTTGGATGTTTATTTATAATGAGAGATAGTCAAAAGTCACACTGTCACCAAATGATGAATGACTTGTTCGGGCGTATGTTGTTCTTTTGTGAATGACCAGTAAATGATATTGAAAGACTTATGTGCTTGATAAAATGTTAAAAACTCAATCAATCAAAAAATGCAATCAAACTAAATATCTTTCGGATGTTACGTTATTATGAAAAATAGTCAAAAGTCATAAATACTGCCACCAAATGATGAATGACTTGTTCGGGCGTATGTTGTTCTTTTGTGAATGACCAGTAAATGATATTGAAAGACTTATGTGCTTGATAAAATGTTAAAAACTCAATCAAACTAAATATCTTTCGGATGTTACGTTATTATGAAAAATAGTCAAAAGTCATAAATACTGCTACCAAATGATGAATGACTTGTTCGGGCGTATTTTGTTGTATGTTGGAAATGACCAGTAAATGATATTGAAAGACTTTAGATTTTGATAAAAAGTCTTTTTTATTGTATTGCTACTTATTATAGACTTAGGTAAATGACTACATAATCATGTTCAATTATCGTTTGATTTTTTAATCAGGAGTTAAACATCACCTGAGAATTATAAGAAATAATGTAAAGAGCTCGAGGAACTCCACCTAGCTCGGTATAGGTTCTGTATAGCTGCTTCTGCAATTACATAAAATATAAATAAAAAAATGAAATGCAAAAACGATTTTTGCCTTGTTCAGTCTCACGTTATAATCAACAGAATTCGTCACTAATCAAGAACGCAGACAGATTGATGGTTTTTGACAAAGAAAATGGAACATATGTAAAACAACTCAAATTGTACCCAACAGAAAAATCACTAGCGCATCACATAATCATATGAAAACTACAATGAATTTCATTAGGTCGAGTGGGAATAACAATCGACAGCAATTGGTATGAACCCGCCTCCAACAGTTCAGAGGATTTGGCGGCTTCAGAGACTGCGCTGAGATTCAACGTAAGTATTCTCATATCAATTCAATGTTATATTATTCAATATGGTTGCAAAAACTGCAAAAAATGTATATTTAAGTAAATATTATTATACTAATAAATTGATGGATGTAGCCATTACTATGTGGTAGCAAATCATAATAAAGAAGAGAGAATTGAAACTTTCTATGTTTTTTACCACTTTCATTCGTAACTAACGTTACTGCAGTTTCGTCTTCTGCAGTAACGTTAGTTACAAATAAAAGTGGTAAAAAACATAGAAAGTTCCAATTCTCTTTTTTTCATAATTATTATACTAGTTTACGAAATATCATTTCAATTTGTTTTGCTATTGTTTGGAAGTAACTATATTATGGAAATTTCTCGAGTGTGACATTTTCAGAAAAATAAAAAAAATATATTTTCCGAAGAAAACATTTCACGAATTTTCAGTCCTGTAGAATTGGAAGAAATTTATAAATAAAACATTGATGATGGGCTGCTGAATTTGTACAAAATTTCACTTCCACTTTATGTACATCATAAAAACAGTTCGTTCAATAACAATGAGGTTATTCCAAATATTTTGACGTACATAATGAATGGATACACAATAGTTCACGTTGAAAATATACTTAGTATTCCTACATAACTCCTCTTCTCAGAAAAAGTAAATCATCTTTGATATATGCAAGACAATGCAAGCGTCATCCTCAAGTTATTTTTTGGTTTCCTTTGATTGAAATATATTTAACCAATTCAAATATCTTCATTTCTCAGTTTTTTATTTTACTTTTATAATGCGATTTCTGTATTTTTAATGGTCCTGTGCTTGTTCAACTTCATATAAACGACGGACTGCGATTCCAAGAATTGCATTTACCGGATGCCCTGTGAGTGCGGAAAATCCTATATTGGTGAAACTAAGAGACCATTGAATGTTCGTATTGCCGAGCACAAGAAACACACACAGCGAGGGGAAACCAGCAAATCAGGAATAGCAGACCATGTTTGGACCCATCAACACAACATCGAGTGGTCCCGAGCTGAGATTAGTTGGTTTAGGAGAAAATTCAAGGAAGCCGCATACATGTTGTCCAACAAAGTATTCAGCCAAGCCAGCGTAGAAATACGCAACATATGGAAACCCATCATCAAGCGAAAAATGGCCAACTCCCGCCAAAACGGTCATCTCCCACGGAACCAGTGAAGCGGAAAATGGAAAGCGGGGATAAGTGAAAGTACTCGAACGACCTATAAATAGTCATCTTTCGGAGGAATCAGTTCAGTCATCACCCGAATACTAACAATAGAAACGTCTAGAACTAACGTGACTTGGAATCTCTCCACGTTTTATTTTTATTTCCTTTTTTCATTTCTTTATTTTTATTTATTCGATTCTTCTATTTTTACTTGTATTTTATTTCACTATTATTTCATTTCAAGTTTATTTTGCTTAATATAATTGTTATTTTCAGCTATTCATTTTTAATTCTTTTTTTTTTTAGTCGTTTCAGGGATTTCAAATCATTTTTATATAGTAGACAATGGAAGTCCGAACTATTGAAATTCATCATGAAACATTGTCAATCACCTTCAAATGACATATCAGCCTACTGCACTGAGTCTATGACGCTTTATTAGAACTGTGTTTTTCAAAATATATGCTCCATAGTAATAAAATATCAACCGCAAACGCTTCCCTTTCATTATCTATAATTAATAATGCACTTAGATTGATATAAGCGTCGTTTAAAAAAATAAGGTGAATTTTAATTTTTCTCAAAAAATATTTATATATTCACCAATTTCGATTTTGTCCCCTTCAGTAGTCCCCCTCAGATTTAATACAATTGTGCCAGTGTTTTATCCAATCCTCAAAGCAATCTTGAATAGAGGATAAAGTAACAGAGGGGTCAGTGTGGAGAAGTCTTAACCTGTTTAATTCGTCTAAATCGTATATTGGAAAAATGAAAAATATCAAAAATTATTTATCGTACAAGTGACCCAATAATTTCGTCATGTTTCAGTACGGATGTTATGCAGATCCAGTAATTCATGGAGATTGGCCGAAACAAATGAAAGAAAATATTGCGAGGCGCAGCAAAGCACAAGGATACAGAAAATCCCGACTTCCCGAGTTCACAGAGGAAGAAATCAAATACATGAGAAACACAGTCGACTTTCTCGGATTGAATACTTACACATCGTCTGTTGTTAGGGCGATTGCTCAACCAGATACGACCACACTGGGTTTATCAGAAGACACCGAAGTCGACGAATGGCAACCGGAAGATTGGGAGGGTTCTGCTTCCAGTTGGTTGAAGGTACGTGATAGAAAAAAAATAGAACAAATATTTATTTCATATAAATGGAATATGAAACGAAAAAAAGATGGATTATTGAAAATGTAGTTTAAAAAAACTTTGACGAAAGCAAATCTGAAACATATTCAAGTTCAATGCTAAATTTTTTGAATCAGAAATGAACCCTATTGATGGTACTCTATTTATTTTTATTCATCATAATCTGTTTTTTGGTGGTCTAGATTACCCGATATATATCTGTATCTGTCGAGTAGGGAGAGTGAGTGGGAGCCCACAGCACTTAGGCCACATGTGAGCCATTGTACATCCTGCCGAGGAGTTGTCGTCCTAGGTCATCGTCCATCCTGTCCTTTCCAGGAAGGTGGACAGGTCACTGGGAGACATCTCCTTTATATCGGCAGGTGTAGGCCAAGACTCGCCGAACACACACTCTCTTATTGAGGATAACTCCGGGCACTCGCATAGGACATGTCTGGCAGTCTCATCTTTCTGTTCACACATCCTGCATAGAGTCCACTAGCCCCATATTATGGAGGTGCATCCTTAGTTGAAAGTGGCCAGTCAGAAATCCTACTGTCTAGCGAAGATTTCTCCTGGTCATCTCCAGATATTTTTTCGGCGCCAGCTTCCCAGGGTCGCCCAAGGTGATCCTGGCAAGATTACATCCTTTGATTCCATCCCATCTCAGGATATTGTTATTATATTGGTGACACTCTAATACTAGCCCCGAGGTTACACGTTGTCTGTTCAAGGCTACTAGGGCTTGTCTGCTGTCAATGCAGATTGTTAAGTTTTTGCCAGAATTTAATTTACTGGTTATTTCTTTTGTGGCGATTGAGATACCAGCCAGTTTTGTTAGGACTTCGCTGGTATTTTTTCCCATTCCTCACTCATTCCTTAGGCTCAGTGATCTGGAGTACACTCCATATCCTGAGCCTTCTTTGGTTTTTGAGCCGTCTGTATATATGCATATTGCATTCGTAACCGATATATAATCTGATGGATGGATGGATGGATCGTCTACAAGTTTCCGACCTTCCAAACCTGTTGCAATTATTTTATCATTCAAACAATATTTTCGAATGAAATAGAATCGATTTTGAAATGACACGCAGGGCATTCATTCTTGTCCGTGTCTCACTGAAAACCTAGTTGCACAACAGCGGAATTTCAAAAGAAGGACTGTGAAAGCTCTGGAATGAACGGGACCTTCTCAATAATTCAATAGGCACTGGATTACTACATACTTACTATTACTATCTATAATATCTAGATAAAAAGTAATTTGATGATCACTTCGATATTAAAATTACCCCGATGGATGATTTTTAATTGGAAAAGTAGCCCATGGCAAGTACAAGTATACATAATGCATCATGACGGTACTGCTTAAAAGCGTTGATGGCATTCATGAGCAGCAGCATGAGCATGAGCAGCAGCATTCTGTGCACTGTACTGATTGATGTATTACAATTATCCAATATTTTTTTCACCTGATAATTTTTTTATGAGCAGAATACAGAATACAAACACTACAGGAAAATCCTAAATGCGCTCTAAGAGCGGTGCCTGTGCGGAAGTAGCGATTCACGTTGGAGTTGAATCGCTGAAGATCAATTTCATTTGGAAAAACGGTCTCAGAAAGTTTATTCCACATAAACGCAGATCTCCAAATGAAAGAGTTCTTCAACAGTGGAGTTAGGGTGTACTGAGTTGAACCTGAAAACGATGAGCAGCCACAGTCCGTCGCGGATTTCTGATTTGTACCGCTCTTGGTGAAATCGAATGTGCAAAGTCACTTGAACACCTCCCGTGAAAACATCTGTAGAAGAGAGAAATCTCTAAACTTTTTTCGATGTTCTAGACCAACAAGGTCGCAAGTGATCTTCGTATCAGGCAAATAGCTCTTTTCTGGAGGGAATCCAACAGCTTCAGGGTATGCCTAGGCGGAGCACCATACATGTGAACAATACTCCAGGAAAGGTCTGATCTGAGCAAAAGATGCTGAGGTTTGTACCATTTTCTGGTTCGTAACAGTGTTTTTAGAAGCAGCCTTTGCAATTCCACCAACATGATTGTGCCAAGACATATTGGTGTCAAATTTTCAAACATCTACAAACTTATCGAAGCAGAAAGCGGAATTGTATGTCCTGACATTATATCTCGCTCGAAGGCATTTATCGTTTTGAAGAAAACCGATGCCTGGGTTTTCGTGGCATTGAATTGAATCTTATTACTTTCGCCCCAATTCGAAATTACTTCTAGATCCTCATTAAGATATGCAACCTCCTGCTGTCGGTGAAGATGTGCATCCTCAGCCGATGTCCTGGAATCCAAATGGAATGACGAAACAAGTGTGATGTCGTCAGCAAAGCAACACATTGGATTCTTGTTTTTTCCAAGGAACCTAATTAAATGTTATGAAGGCATATGAAGATAGCTGCCCTTAAAGACGTAAAGTTGTCGGCAGGGACGTACAGAAGAATATTCTGTGTGCTTAAATGAAGATTATGGATTTCATCTCACTGAAATTCATATAGAAATTTACAGACGTAATGCCATTTGGGCATCATTTCGAGGTGAAGCTTGTTATAAACAACTGTCAAATGAATATATAATTCAAGTTGCAACTGAGTGCAAACGCATTAATATGGTACTGTTGATGGTGGGTACAAGATAGATCAAGGTAGATCGCGCAAGAATAACAGCAACACGTCACATTGGAAGCACTTCTATCATCTTCCAAACAGAAGCTAATGCTGTAGAAAATTGTGCAAGTGAAACACTCTCCATCCCTACCCCTACTCGTTACTTTACTCTTGATGTTTATTAGCCCTCGTGCAAACAAAAGGATGATTGCTCAACCGCGTACCCTTAGATCACTGAATTCTATCGAAACAGCTACGTGTTGTCAAATTGATGATCTCACTGTCTTGCTGAAGCTTTTAGAGATCATTCTAGTCGATGAAGTTGGTCTATTCACTTTTTTTTTACTTTAGCTTACTGCCCAAAGAGGAACCAAGATGGAAAGGAACAGTGGCTGGTTTCTGATGAGGAGTGGGACGATATGTTTTTGGTTTAAAATTTAATTAAATCGAGAAATATCCGTCGCTTCTAAATCTGTTCATGATATGTCAGGACAGACAATTCCGCTTTCTGCTTCGGTAAGTTTGTTGGGGGTTAAAATGGACACCATGTCTTGGCACAATCATGTCGCTGGAATAGCAAAAGCTGCTTCACAAAATCTTGGAACACTGTTCTGAGCCACAAAACTGTATACACCTCAGCAACGTTTGATGCTTTATGAAGATCAGATCAATCCTTCTTTGGAGTGTTGTTCACATGTATGAAGCTCCACCTCTGAGCATACCCTGAAGCTGCTGGATTCCATCCAGAAAAAAGCAATTCGCCTGATTGAAGACGCAAACATCACTTGCAACCTTGATAGTTTGGAACATCAAAGAAACGATGGAGATTTGTCTCTCTTTCATAGATATTTTCAAGGGAGGTGTTTATGTGACTTGGCACATTTGATTTCACAAAGAGCAGTACATATTAAAAATACGCGACGTACTATAGCTGCTCATCGTTTTGAGTTTCAACTCAGTGCACCTCGAAAAAAAAAATTCATTTCAAAAAAGATAACACGTGACAAATTCAAAACATGTGACATAATCTTAACTTGAACAATGACGAGTCTAACAAAAGTGAATATAAATAAACGTTATTCCTTGAAATTGTTATTCAATCAACAATAGTTGAACACGATTTAACGAACGTCAATGTTAATTACAACAGATATGAAAATAACTAACACGCAACAATCTCTACGACACAATTAAAGTATTGCCATATGAAATCATTATCACTCGTGATGATGAGATTGAGACAATCATCAATGAAGAATTCAATTCGAAAAAGGCTTGTGAATAATGCATATTCATGTATAGAATGTTTCTTTCAGGAAATCAAGACTGAATTTGCTATATTTTTCCAAAAACATTTGAAATATTTTCAAAATACAATGTGATATAGGACATTGACTGAACATAACAATATCCTACCCAAAACAGAACGCACTCAACTAATTTCTTATTCAAAAAAACCTCTTCACTTTCATGGTCTACCAAACATACATAAACCTAACGTTCTCTTGAGACCCTTGTAACTTCAACTAGACCTCCTAATCAAAAACTGACAAGACACATTTTGGAAATTTTGAAACTGTTATCAGGAAATGGTATCGTTTTCTAAAAAATACTACCCATTTTATATGTAGACTTGAAAATTCAACACTTAGTGTTGGTGAGCTTCGAAATTGAAAGTCATCACGAATATCTGTTGAAAATATTGTAAAATCCAGGTTGGAAAATACCTCAACTTTGAAACATTAAACGAAGATAGATGTGAGCTCTATACTGAAACTTTTAAGATCATGTATAGACAAAATTTTCAATTTGGAAACGAGAATTTGGCATGGCTATGGGTTTCCCTTATCTCCCATCCTTAGTACCATATATAAGAAACATTTTGTTGGATATTTTGTTGAAACTCACCAGAATGGTGCGAAACTTTGGTGGTGGATGATAGCCCATTGGAATGACGCTATGTGAAGCAGTGGTTTAAGTCAAGAGGCCAAACGATCGATTTTCACTGCGTATCGTCCAACTCGTGCTAGGAATCGCATGTTGAGAGGCAAGACCTCGTAGGGGGCGATAACAACAAATACATTTAGATCTAAACTTACAACTACAAAATCTAACAACACATAAGAGAGAACAAACACTTGAAATCAGGCGGTGAACAAGTTGAATAAAACATGCCGAGAATGGTTGCCAATGAGCAGCACTAATCTGGAGAGAAGTGTATTAAGAACAGCTTCATTGAAATGGAGCTTGGCCACCCGTCTAGAAGGAAATTATGGATAGTGGCAAATAGCAACAGACTAATATCAGAGAACACCTTGGTCTACAGCGAATGTTTCAGTAGTCGATCAACAACATTGTCATATTTTACATTTCAAAATTCCTTCTGTCGAGAACGCTTTAAAATGAATCGAACTAAAGAAAAAAAATTTTGAGCCGTTGCTGTGCGCCTGGCAGATGTGAAACATCAATGATAATAATAATATTTGGCTAATGACCTCAGCAGTCGATGCCTGAATAATAATAAAAAAAAAATAATTGAAATATACATGAAAAAATTTCAACGTGGCTTTAGTGTGCTAGTAAACTCAAGAATCTTGGCTAGTTATTGCAATATATCACTGAAAATCTTAAATTATAGATATCAATGGTGAACCATTCAAAATGAATTCCACCATCATTAGAAAATAATTTAAATATTTTTTTATGTTCCTGTTACTATATAAAAAAAACATTCGTGCGCCGCTCGCTATCAACTGATTTTGAAATGCAATTTTGTCAGTTTTAATGGAATTTATTTTTCACAAAAGTATTTCAGTGCATTATTTTTTAAAAGAATTAAATTAAAATTAATCAATGATTAAATTAAAAATATTATTTGCTATAAAAATTATGTGGATTTTAATCTATTGAGATTAGATTTTACATTTACTGACCCTTGAGGCAGACCAAATATACGAGGGATAAATTCGCAGATAAATGCATACTTCAATTATAAAATATAAAAATGTTATCTTGCTGATGATTTGATAGTGGGTCGTAGTGTGATTTTGCTTTTTTGTAGGAGGCTGCGCACTTTCACTTTCCAAATAATCACTGTCAGACATACTTCATTTTCAATTATTTTTAAAATTATGTATTTAGTAAAACACAGATAATGTATATTGCAGTAATTACAACCATAGGTTTCCGAGCTCAGTGTGGCGAGAGAGATAGCGTAACCGAATCAATGGGAAAGGAATCGCACAGTCGCTTGCTCATGGCGACAGGTCGCCACGCCGGCAAATGAATACACGTGCGGTTATAGATGTTTCACATCAAAAACTTCGAGGATGATTGGATGTTTTCCAATCCTGAAGGCGAAGGCAGATTTTAGCCTGCAAATTGTTGAGTGTCCATTGTTTTTTTGATAAGCAAAATTATTAAAAACCACAAGTTAGTGATAAATAGAAAATTTTTCCATATGAAAAATACTTTGTATATAGCAATAACTCATCGAGGTCCTTTATTGCTCTTTTTGCAGTTATATAAGTTTCTCTCATTCACAGTTAAGTTTTTTTCATTCTGAAAGTTGAAAATTACAAAAAAAAAAAAATTAAACTCTGATTTCTGTTGATTAGTTATAATGCAAACACATGTTTACTTTTATTCCAGATTACATGTAGGTACTATTACTATAAGGTTTCCTATTCGAATTTTTTCCTATTAGTGAAATTTGATTATTTAAAAAAATAATTTGTTCCAGGTTGCCCCATGGGGAGCGCGTAAACTACTGAAATGGCTGAAATATGCCTACAATGATACGCCTATCATGGTCACTGAAAATGGATACTCGGATGAGGGCACTTTAAACGATGAAAGAAGAATAAACTACTATCAGGTACAAGTATTGCGATCATTTCGTGATATACTAGCTTTTGAATATCCTGCCAAACTCCGTCTTCATCAAGAAAAGTCAAATTCAAAGAGTGAATAATTTATTATTCCAATCACACATACCAACAAAATTTTGAAAAAGTTCAGAACCAGAGGTCAGAAAATTCCTTTCGAAACATCTAGTTTCATCATTTACACAAGAAATTCTCAGTATATAGAAATAAACCCTTTCAATTTGAATTAATTTAAGTAAGTGATGGATTGAAAAGTATAAAAGAATGAACATATTCATCCCGATCAATTAATCATTGAACAAATTAAATAATTGAAAAACAATATTCAACAGCTTATTGTGGACAGAAACGGAATAGACGTTCAAAAAAGTTTTGTTGTCTCAACCAATCCGCCATTCATTGCAAGACACTTGGCATACCTTCTTCTAATATTCAATTTGTTTTTTCTCAGTTGTTCTGTTGTAATTTCTGCATAAGCTGCAGATATTCTGATGCGTAGTTCTTCTACTGACTGCTTCACAGTACCCCAAAAGGAAAAAAATTAGCGGTGTCAGGTCCGGTGATCTTGGCGGCCACTAAATGTAAAGACTACTTTGACCTATCCATCGATTTCCATAATTATTATTCAGCCATTCTCCTATAATACCTGCATTATGAACAGAAAACCCTCTTATTAAAACTTCAAATTCAGGTGAAGCTGCCTGGTGAGTTATGTATTGCGTCCCAAATGTCATTTCTCAAAAAGTCAAGAAATATATTTCCATTCAGATTACTTTCGAAGAAAAACGGACCGATAATCTTATAATGGATTATTCCACACCACACATTCATTTTGTGGTAATATTGACGTTTTGCGTTCATTACCCAATTTTGGAACGTAACTCCTCCATTTTTAATGACCGCAGCTTCAACACTAAACAAACTTATTTCGAACAAGTTTATATCATTCGAATATTCTTCTTGAGCCCCATATACAGAATTCTAACCTTCTTTCTTCATCTCCCGGTTCTAGAGTATGTAAAATTTTTGGCTTGATTGGATCAATTCATGATATTTTCTTTAGGGATATTTGAAATCAAACTAGCCGTTCGAAAGCTTGAATGAGGATTATTACGAAAATATTTCAATATTTGCACACCATTTCTATTCTCGCGATAGGAATTGTTTCTGTTTTTGAGCATATGCCTCGATACACAACCTGTTTCGTTGAGAACAGAATTTTACTGCTGCTCACTGGAAGTTTATCAGCAGGTTTGTTATGATATTCTTGGGCAGCTTCTCTTGGCGAAAGGGCATTATCTCCGACAAGGCGCACAAGTTCAATTTTATCTCGCACACTTAGTACTACCATTTGGGAGGGTGCCCAGTCCAATGGTGAATTTAAATTTTTCCTAAAAAATCGTAAAAACGTTACTTGTATTTTAATCTATAAAAATATTTGCAGCAGGTCTTGGTTTCTGAAGAAAGAAAATGATATTTGGCTCTCAGAGACGAGAGCTTATCGATTTGTGAAACACAGTAAGTGTGTTTATTGAACGTGTCTGACTTCCCCAAGTCAAGCGTGCGTAAAGGAGTTTCACTTCAAAATGAATATAACAAACACCTGTTTAGATTGTAGAATCTCAAAATTTTGATATATGACACAATACATTTGGACTCGGGTTCGAATTTATTGCTTCTGAAACTCACCGAAAAAAGTTCCGGTTTTGAAAAAGATTGTACTGTTATTTTATCTAAGCCAACATTTTCAATAAAGTAGAACTGTACGAGATTTACATTTACAGGGTTACATAAGTAATATTCGTGATGCGATGGAGAAAGATGATGTGAATGTTATCGGTTACACAGCTTGGAGTTTCATGGACAATTTTGAATGGTTGCGTGGATACTCGTAAGTATATCTATCTTCAAATAGTTTTGAAATTTTAGTACCAATATCAATATCAAAGCTTCGTTCGTGATTTTTGGGTAGAGTTTTTTGGAACTGAATGCGATTCAAATCCGTATAAATGAATTGTATGGCCTGAAGAGAACATTTTTCTATTTTATAAAATATTTCTGAATGGTGAAAATCATTGAGGTTTCTCTATTATTGATTCCTGGTCACATTGACCTGGAACGCCATTTTTCTTATAACTTTTCTGGATATTTTGAGAAATAGCTACGTTCCTGCAATTTTTCAAAAACAAATTGAAATTTGAGTTGATGTCACAGTCAACTTTTGGATAGATCATTCAAAATGAAAGCCTATACGGATTCAATAGTCACAGTGTAGTAGTTTATATACAGTATATACAAAAGTTCTAGTCCTAACTTAAAGCACTATAGATCGTGAATAATTTTTGAAAAAATACGCTGAAGAAGAACCCTGAATATTCATTTATTTTTTTATCAACATAATTCAATAATCTTCCACACTGAAATGACACTTTGATTCAACTTCATTAACTGACTTTTCGTTCTAGGGAACATTTTGGCCTATACCACGTTGATTTTAACAGCCCCAATAGGACCAGAACAAAAAAGGATTCTGCTATTTGGTACCAAAATTTAATGAAAACAAGATGTGTTGCAGAAAAATGCAAGAATTAAACGAACTTCAGATGAAAATGAAAAAAAAAATCTAGTGTTATTTTACAATGAAAATGATAACAGAAGTACTAATAAAGTTTGACTGAAACAATTTCAAAATCAATTTTCATTTTTAACGTATACTTTATTTGGCGATGATGCATGATAAAACCACGATACCGTAGGATGAGTGGTTTTATCTTTTGATGGTTGCTCTATTATTAATTCTCAAAAACAGCAACGTTTGTGTTTTGAAAAACATTATCTGAGAAATTTTTTATAGCGAATGGTATTCGTGAATACCATTTTATGAAATATTCTCAGCTCGGAATAAGAACAAAATATCAATTCTTGAATCAAATGACATCAATGACATATATGTAGATATAAATTCAATTTCATGGCTGATAATTATTATGCTGCCCAGAGGAAGCGTTTCGTCAGTTCAGTTTTTTCATCATTTTGTCGTTAGAAAAAATAAACACCATAATGAAATCAAATAACTGTTGCATTTGTTATATTTTTTTCATCTAGACAATTATGGAAAACAGATGAAAACACCAACAATAATTTTAGTCACAAAAAAATCGAAATTATCAGGGATGTCTAAATAACAATAAAATGAATGCAGTTTCAAAGAATTGATATACTAATATATCTAAACATACCTCATGATTTTACTGAAACAGCAGAGTGAAGTTCATCAAGTATCAAAAACCCCCGACCAATAAAAAGTCAACAGAAATCGTAAAATTGTCATTGTCAATAACTTCGGTTTTACTCGTGATTGCATTGAGTCAATTCTTTTTTGTGCGAGATATTGCAGAATTAACAAGTTTGAGCAAAGAGCTATTCAAGAATGAGTATTCCAAATTTTTGTGAATATAAATTATTAGGTTGTCTCGAAAGTTTTGTCCTTTTTAATGTCATGTATTTTTTTTAGCTCCATATCTTATTTAATATTAATTCTACTGCAAGCAGTTGTGGTAGCACCAACAGAGCAACTGTTACGCCTATGTATTTTTATAAATAATTATCTTTTATTGAGTACTTTTCGGTGTAACAGTTAGTTTGAGATTGATTTATATCACCTATAAGTGCTGAACATTAAACCCATAAACAATTAGCCACTACTTTCAATGCCACGATTTTGATAACAACAAAAGCACTGTCTTTCGAAGGAGGTTTTACTAACCAAAGCTACCATAAGGTTTTTTTTATATTCATCTGAACGGACCATCACGTTACGTAAGTAAAATTAAATCCTAAAATAACTCATTTTGTTATATTGTTATTATTCCAAATATTAATCACTACCCATTGCAATATACAATCTTTCACCAGATTTCTACCTGTAATTATTACCCATGAGCATAAACAGCAAACTATTACTAATGAGACTTTTTTCGCTGTCTATAGATCTCATTAATTTTTTTAGAAAGCATCCATTAATAATAATAATAATTTGTCTTTATTCTGTCAATCTAGGACACATATACATTTTTTTACATTTGGAACATTAATGATACTAGAGCTGACGTCAAAGGCGAAGTTCAAATCAATAATTCAAAATTATTGCTTTGAACTTGCTCAACATTATGGAAAATGCCTATAATACAAAATTTGAAAAAAAAATAATAGGGACTCTTAATAACTTAGGGATCTGAAATGTATTATTTGGTTTATTGCTTCCACAAAACATTCTTATAGTAGTACTTAAAACTTGGTAACTGAAGGACCGTTCAAAGAATCCATGATAGTGAATTGGTGGTGTTAAAATATCTTTAAATCGAATATTGATTGTATGAAAATCGGTTCGAAATGAAATGTTTCCATATAAGTAAATCGGAATCTTCGTTATGATTATTCTGTGAAATAAGCACGCTGCAAGCAACCGCCTACGTATAGCCATATTTAACAAACCCGTTTCAACCAATTTATTGAAAATACTTTCTCGCCTTCGAACCCCATTGAGACGTAAACATGAATTCTGAATCTTTTGGATTTTTTCTCATATGCTTTCGTTAAGCAGGGACCGTACACTGAATCAGCAAAATTCAGGGTAGACAAAACTAAACTATCACATAACATTATTTTTGTTGCTTACGTAAGAAAATTTCTATTTCCATAAATAATCTTAAGAGTTCCATAAGCCTTTTGAATAAGTTTTTTCACGTGTGTTTCGAATCTTAAATTACTTTCGAGAATAAGTCCTAAACTTTTCGCTTGATCTACAATGGACAGGTCCTTGTCAAGCATTTTTACTTTTATTTTGTCTTCAATCTTCTCCCTGATATTTTTTGGCCGGAATATCAAAACATTCGACTTTTTTGGGTTGTTAACTAGACAATGATCAGTTGCAGTTTCAACAAAATTATTGATGTGTTTATTAACTTGTGCACAAGCCTTATCAACATCTTCAGGTTTGAAAGAGATATGGATCTGTGTGTTGTCTGCATATAAATGAGAATAACAATGTCCAAGGGAGTTAACGAGCTGGCTAGCATAAATAGAAGAGAGTACTGGACCTAGGATTGAACCTTGTGGCACTCCCGACTTCAATTCTGGAAAATTCGACTTATTGGCTGCTGCTGTCACATTCTGATATCTTCCCCTCGAATAAATATTGAAGAATTCAACACTATCTGCAGGTATTCCTATATGCAAAATTAACATTAGTACGTCATAGTTTATAGTGTCAAATGCCCCACTAAAATCAAGAAGTATCAGGGCTGTACATAAACCTTTATTTGAAGCTGAGAGAATATTTTTGACTATATGTAGCAAGGCGGTAAAATTGATTTTTCATTCAGGTAATTCGTCAGCTGATGATTAACAATTTTCTCTAACACTTTTGACATCGTGGGTGAAATGCTTATTGCACGAAGATCCTTCAGTTGTTGAGGATTAGTAGCTTTTGGTTGTTGTAATATTAGAGATTTCTTCTAATTTGAAGGAAAAACATTATTGGTGAGACAGTAATTGATAATATGGGTGAAATAAGGAAGAATTACTGGACCAGTCCCAACAATTTCAAGCATTTACCACTTATTATGTGGTAGTTCTCTAAGGAAACTATTCCAACTTATTCTGTGGCCTTAGAGAAGGACCCCAAAATAAATGACTTATGCTTGAAATCAGCTTCATAAAGAACGTTTCCGGCAAGTGGCCGTCGATGGATATATCTCGAATACTGTCACCATCAACGCTGGTGTTCCCCAGGGATCCATATTGTCTCCAACTCTTTTTTTATTGTATATAAAACACCTATTGGAAAAAACGAAGAATCCAATATACACCGGAAGCAGGAGTTTGTATATCTTAATGAGGATCTAGAAGTGATTTCGAATTGGGGTGAAAATAACCGTGTTCAATTCAATGCCACAAAAAAGAGTGGTTATTGCCAAGCAGTCTCGTCATTCTTGCAGAGATTGAAAGTGAAAAGTATTCAGAAGGTCTTGATGAGGTAGTGATGAACATTGGGAATAATAAGAATAATTCACTTGGAATTCGAAAGTTGACATGTTAATTGATTTTTTCAATTTGACAGTTAATTTTTTTCGCATCAACAAGAGAGATTTCAAGATGGCGGTTTCTGTAAAGTGGCCGATGTAACTAAACTAATATTTTCGTGTTTTCGTATTGAATCTCATAATTATTGATTTTCAACATATATGACGAAATCTGGTTGTACCTAGAAATAAAACAGGTCTTCACTGATTCCCTGAAATGAAACGTTTCTACAAAGACCTCGAAGCGCATACATTTTAATTACAAAATGATTTTCAGCGATGGCCGTTTCCTTTGATGTTAATGAAATAACCTAAAGTATAAGCTGACAGCACATTTTCATTCAGATTTCTGCACAGGTATTCATAATGCAGAATATTCTTTGTTATTTCTCATAAAAGGATATGAGAATGGTATCGATCGCTTTGTTCCATTATGTTTACCTACTCACATGTAATGGCTCGGCAACAATTACACTTCAAAACTTCTCAGCAAAAAAAAGTAGAGCAATATGTCTCTTCGATTTGATGACTTTCAACGACTTAGAAACATCACAGGAGAGTTGGAAGTATGTTTTTTCTAATGATACTTTCATATATAATTATTTTTTAATGTTTTCTGATCTGTCCACCACCAGTTTGTCCCGTATGTGGAGAAACTGGTGGTGGAGTAGTTATCTAACAGTGGTTCTAGATACAGTCCATCGAATTCTCTCAATTCCTAGGTATAGAGATAACGTAGATACGTGAAAAGTTGCCAAAAAGGCTTGAAAGTTTCCCCGAGAACAATTAAATGACGAAAGTTCTTGTGCACTCCTGTTAGTTCTTGTACATTGTCAATGACCAGAAGGATGCTCGTCGACAACGAAGAAGTGCCAAAAGGGCCTTGATGAACGACCCTAGGGGGTGAGAGAAGACAATGGAATGACGTCACCTCTTAAGCAACCCTGTTGGTGTAGATTGTCATCAATGAACAGAAAGTATCGAAGAAGAAGAAGAAGTGTCAAAATGACACATATTGCTGTTTTTTATAGAGGTAGGTATAAAGGTTTCTTTATAGTAGTATTATTGCCGTAACTTTGAAAATAGACTCTGTAGTATTTCCTTTTTAATAAACTAATGATTTTTCTCCGATGGTGTTCATAAAACGAACCATTGACATTCTGAATATTATTCTGCTACGTAGGTAACTGTGTAATTCATCATCTTTATTAGTTTTCCACTATGAAAATTTCACCGATTCTAATAACACAATTAACTTTTAAAAATGGTAAAAAACCAAACTAGGTGTACCAAAAATCAGTAGAAATCCTATATCTATGAAACAGAAAAAAAATCGAATGAGTCCATACATCACCAGACGCCACATTATATTGTACTGCCATAATTATGAGGCTATTAAAGAATGAACAAACCACAGATTCGACTATGACCGACAATGAGGTTCATTGGTTCAACTAGATAAAATTAATAAAATTGCCTTTGTCATTTCGGTATTTCATTGTTTGAACGCAAAATTTAACTCTAACACTTGCATGGAATAATGATATATTGTACTCTATAAAAGAAATGATATATTGTTTTTTTTTCGTTTTTATCTTTTCAAATATTGTAGATATTTATTTCATTTTGATAATGGTATTCATACAAAATAATAAATATGATGCTACAATGAAAAAATTAGTTTCAATGACATAACTGGTAAATAAAACACATTATTGCCTTTTTCTATAGCTGGGAGATAGGTTGAATGGCCTCCGCAGTCACCAGATTTGTATCCCTTTGATAACTTTTTGTGGAAATACTTATGATGTTAAATCACTAACACAACCATCGTCTTGGAACGAAAACAATAGCAAAAAATAATGTGTTTGGGTATTTTTATTTCAGCACCCTGTATCAAGCGGAAATAATGAAAGAGCAAATTCCGATTCCATTCATTTTATTTGACTAAACTCCTTGAAAGGCACGGATTCACGTGGGAAGTAGAACAAAGCGAAGAACAATTTTAGCCTTTGAGTCAACGGGAAACTTTTCTTTCTGCTTCAATAAAGAACTGGAGAGGAAGAAAAAGAAAGCTTTTCAATAAATACCCCATTTGAACTTCGAAAATAAGTTACTTTCCTCAATGGAATAAACAACTTCCGGTATTAAAAAACGTTTAAAAGGACAACCAAAGCATTCAAATGGGACGAAACTTGTTAACAGTAGAATAGATAGTTTGGCAGTTGATTTTTCAATCAGTAATCAAATTCAAGTCAGTAAATATGAACAAAAAATATGAGGTTTAACTGGAAACTTACTGGGGTCGAAACTGAATATGTATTGTTATTATTTTAGATTCGCATGTATAGAAAAAACCAAATCAATGCGTGTTCTGAAATATTTCATTAAACAATAATTCCATTAGGTATCCAAAACCTTTGCGAATCGAATGAATTTCAATTCATTAAATATAGTGTGCATATGCAGGAAATTTTCTGTGAAGATTCCTGCACTGACGCCTGTCGGATATAATCCAACGTCCTTCGTGGTATTAGCCAGGGGAGTAGTTGTTTTCTTATAGGCCTCAGTCCATTCAACCTACTGTGTAGGTATATTCGAGACTGGCTTGAACGTTTGAAGTTCATTTCTTTATATCAAATTTACCTTATTTAACCGGTTTCTGCTTTTCTATGATAATACATCATGGACAGAGAGTATAGTCAATCTTATATTTGTAATTGGATACATTTCTCAGTGATAATTTTTTTAAATGTAGTTATGTTTGAAATTCAATGATTATTCATCAGATAGAGCAACAAAACAGATAAAGTTTCCTTGATGACACCATACTGGTTCAATATTCAGAATGATTGATTCAATATGGACGGAATTTTTACTGTTTTGAAACAATAAATGTATACATATTTGAACTCAGTACACTTCAAAAATACATTTTCACGTATACGAATACATGAACATAATTTGAATGACGATAGGAACATTGCTTGAGCACTGTAATTGAACATTAAACAATGTATAAACGTATCACAATCTCGTATAGTCGAAGTAATCGGTTCATAGTTGAAGCTGTAAGCGTTCTCAATGTCCAAAAAAACCATCACAGAAAAATAAAGCCGCTGCCAACTAGTCCACGTGGACTGTAGACTTGGTGGTTCTTATTGTTACGGTGACGAATCGAATGCGAGGATGGTTTTATAAGAGTCGTGTTGTCAATGTTCAGTTCAGGAAATGATCGTGATTTGAGTGTTGAAATTCGATATTGGTGAAGTTATAATTACCTAAAATTTTTGTTATCTGTTTGAAATGTGGTGTCCTTGGACAAGTACTAATAGTAATAACGAGTGTGATAACAACGCAGACTTTTTCCTGTGTAGTGATTCCAATAGCGATGGTGAACAATGCGAGAAAGAGATACCAGTGAATAAGATTCGGATGCATTTGAATATCAAAACACAGAGAGTATGTTTCAATGTATGTAAGAATCTACATCTCAAGCAACATCAGATTTGACCGAAATTGCTTTCTCAACTATACGTAAAAAGTCAAAGATACGGAATTACCAAAACCTTTAGATGTTCATTTAATAACATCATTGAAAAAAACAACATACGACTGTTACAAAAGCATTGAGATACCTACAATTGAAATCGTAAGGAAAAAAATTGATCACTAGGATGTAGATTTAAAATAATAAACATACGTCAAGCAGTTATGGAAAAAAGAATAATAGTGGAATTGCGTGACAAATACTTGGAACAAATAACTAAATCTAGACAAGAACAACGACAAATTTTCTATTTGGACGAAACTCGGTGTGACACTCACGACACAGTTACTAAAGGGTAGACTGATGGTTCGAGATTGTGTACGCCTAACATTCCTGCAAACAAGGGATCGCGACAAATCATTGTGCATTGCGGAGGAAGTAAATGATGTAGTTTTCATCTTTTCGACGTTTTGGCTCCTGCTTTAGAGCCATTTTCAAGAATCACTTGGAACTGTACCTACTTACATGACTCGAGGACGAGGTCGCAAACTCCCTTGCACACAAGTCTCGTTACTAGATCTATGCTTGCTGTGTTCAGCTCTAAGTGATATCGATTCGACTCACAGAAGCAAATCAATAATTCACATCAATTTCCAAGAGAAAACAGCCTTTCCGTCGGCAATAAAGAGTCAGACGGCGACAAAAACATCGACATATATGAAATAATACGGCAGCGTACGGTATGAAATATATAATACAGAATATCGGACATAATATATTGCCGTTCCACGAAAAGTTGGGTCACTTTTATTGGAGGTTGTATACAGAACTCGTCGCTGGACAGATATTACTTGTTTTACTGACGCATTTTTGAGAAATCACATTCGAGCAGGTTCGAAGCAAATTCAGACAAAGAATATTATTTTATATATCTGACAAATGATGATAGATACATGATAAATATAATTAGGAATTTATGGCGAAAATTAATATTTATATCGGCTCCGTCCGGGAAACGGAACGTTAAGAACGACTAGATTATTCAACCACAGATATTGACAGTAGCCGCACATTGCCAACTTTTCAATCCTAATCCTGATCAAAAATCAAGTGATTTTCAGAAAATTTTCCGACCTGAACTCAAAATAATAAATAACTATATATAAATCTGTAACATAATGAAAAAACTCCGATTCTTTTTGAGTTAATTCAAATATTTAAAAAAAAATTTCGATATACATCACCTTCGCATCATGTATTATACACTTGTTCAAGCACATATCAATTATGGAATTATTGCTTGGGGTGGAGTAACTAACAACTACCTGAAAAATCTTGAAACACTACAGAAATGGCTTATAAGAATTATACTCGATAAAAAACGTGACTATTTTGGTGATGATCTTTATAGGGAATCAGGGTTTCTTGATATACGCCAAACTTTTTTACTCACACTCTTAGTACACCAAAGAAAATATATTTTACAAGCAAACACGTACATCATATATACAACACTCGATATAAGAAAGAAGCCTTGAAAGTACCTAAGATGACTAAAACTATTGGATAGAGATGTTATGTTTTTCTTGCTTCCAAACTATTCAATAAAATTCCAACTGAAATTAAGAATCTCAATTCACTTTCCCTATTCAAGCGGGAAGCCAAGAAATGGATCAATATGAAACCAAGAAATGTTTGATAGACCTCAAAAATGCAAATTGAAATGTATCCATGTTCTAAAATCGTATCTATTTGTGTATTATTTGTAAAATTATAAATTCCATTCAACATATCAATTATATATATGCGACTGTGCCTCAATTAGTATTATCGATTTTCTTCATTTTTTCCTCATTAGTGTCTTAATGTGATTGTGTTTGTTTACTAGCGTGAAATTATTTCATATATTTTATTTATTCATTTAATTGCTTTCCGATATTTTATCCAATATTTCTTGTGAAGCATTTAACGATCGTGGATTTCCCAAAGTATTTTGTGGAATCACATGGTGTGGAAAACAATTACGGAAAAACATAATATGAAGAATAATTCAAAGATCAACGTGCTAATGTGCTAAACATTTCTCAGAATTGATGTTGCCAGTAAATATTTATTATTCTAAAATTGGCACTGTCTGTATTGATTATCACAATAATAATTTGAAATAAATAAGATCCGGCAAGTGTAAGAAAATCGTACGTTTCTTTGTAATTTTACTAAATGTCATGAATTTTGTTTTTGCTTGAAATAGTATGTGAATAGGCAAGATTGCTAACAATTCGAAAAAGTAACAATTGGAGAATAGTTGAAGCTAATGTTCATTTAATTTAAATCGTTGCTGCATCGGTCACTGTTAATATATAGGATGTATCTTGAGTGTGACTCCCTTTTGTCTTTTATGAAAAAATATTAGTTCTGAATTGCTTCGTTTTTCGAAAAGATAGAACTAATTTGAGGAAGTTCAAAAATATTTTCTGACCTAATTACCGTTTTTGCGAAATTTGAGATAGTTTAGTACATTTTTATGGTTTTTCGTA